ATTGCTTATAAGTTATAACTATTAAGTATTAACTTTGTTTTTGTCAGCAGATGCCAGATTGTTTGAAGTTTTATCACTTAACTGTTAACTACTAAAATCATGAATCAAGTAAGACCCAGTAACCAATAGACTAGAGAACAGTCAATTTGTTACTGGGTCTTACTTGAAATTTGAATAACATTGGATAATAATATATATATTTTATTCTCTAAGAAGCCTTTTCTTTAGTGTTTTGAAATCGGGTAATAACTATAAGCTGATTTGAAATAATTAGAAAATTTAATATTGAGTCTTCTATAAAGAATAATAAACAAGTAGCAATAGTAACAATTCCTAATTCAATAACATTGAAAAGCAATTTTCATACTTTATGTTATTTCACATTAATGTGATTTCTCATAAACAGTGTTTTAAGATTAATAGGATTTGTTGTCGCTACGCTAAGTATGGATTCTTAATAAGAAGTAAATGTATATAGAAAAAACCTCCAGAAATTTGTTTAATCTCTTTGGTTGGTTAAAAAAGAAGGTTGACACAAATATATGTAGGTTTTCGTAGTTCACCGGGTCGTCTAGTTAATTGATACATATTACCTTTAGAAAATTTTGCACTTAGGTACACCCCACTAAGGCACAAATAGATTATTTTAACTTGTATTCCATAATTCTATTGGCAGTGGCCTCCCTAATATAAACTCCAATATGGTCTTATTAAAATATTTGGCACATTTAAAGAGGATGTCGTGACCTGACTGTCGTATGGCACCCTGTCATTGTCAGATGTGTTCATAAATTGAGCAAGGATTGGGAGCTCTGGCACACGTGATGACTATATTATGCCCACAGAGTGATTGATGGCCGTTCGCCAGAAACTTGTCTATCGTATATAGTGTAAAAAAAAACAAATTAAAAAATATTACACATCCACGACGTTATTTAATAAAGGAACGCTGAGGTTTAGAATAATTAAGAAGCAACCCTAAATATAAAATTTGTCTCGTTCAATATTTCAACTTAATAAAAACGAAATAAATGAGCTTTATCTCATATTTAGTAAAAATTAAATGGATTTTTTTACCGTTCGATAACGTCCAATTTGATGACTTTTGATGGTAATCTATTAACATAGTTATGAGGCTACTTAAAAAATATGCAAATAGATGATTTAATTATATCGCGAGTCCCAATATTTATGAACTATAAAATCCAGAGCGATAAAGTAACATTTTAAAAACTGTTTTGGTGCCATAGCAACAAGCCTCGTAGTTCGGAAAGCGATTTTTAATTTCATTTATATTGTGAATATTATTGCTATTTGCTGGGACGCCTATAGACTGTATATTTATTATTATAAAAGCATATTATGTATGCCAAATCTATAAGTAAGTATAATACTAGATGACTGTTATTGTTTTTGTTTCCTTATTCAAAACGTTAAATTTGTTTGCCTACCCATATATGTATGTACTTTTTGTTACCACTCAATATGACTTTGCTGTGGAATGGAAGCCTGGTTATCCATATCACAGGTTCTTACCTAGTTTGGAAACCAGTCTCCCAATACCTTCTCAACTGTTATCTTATTGTTTTATATGGGAGAAATTAAATTATTATTATAATTATAATAATTGAACCATACTATTAATATATCAAATAATGAAGATCCAGTTCTATCAGATACCACGAGTTTAATTATGAGATGACTGTACTGACATATCGCGCCCTTTGTAGCCTACAATACCCTACAATACCCTCTCGACTTGACTGATGTTCTAATTGTGGATGGAGTAAAAAAACAGGTTTGGTGTACTTAATTTTTATTAGTCTATAGTCTGTGCCTACTCCTCTGAAACAGGCATTACATAAATAGTCTATAATATTATACCTTTTACATTCGCTTCATTATAATTTATTTATACAAAATTCAATCAGTCTCTTTAGCCGATGTCTCTTCATCGTTTTCGTTGTCGTCACCAAATCTTCGTAAGCCATAACCATTACCTGTGTTACCTAGGTAATAGTTGCCATTAAATTGATTATTTCCAAAGGGTTTATTATAAGGTCCAAATCCGTTGTTATATGGTCCGTGATTGTTGTTGTATGGTCCATAACCGTTGTTGTAAGGACCAAAACCGTTGTTGTAAGAACCAAAACCGTTGTTGTAAGAACCAAAACCGTTGTTGTTGGGCCCATAACCGTTGTTGTAATGCCCTGAGTGCGGTCCATTCTTGGGGAAGCCGTTATACTGATTGTACTGGTTGTATGGTGGGATGAAATCTGTGCCGTATCCACCAGACGCAGATGATTGTGATTGACTGATTCCTATGTTAATAGGTGGATATCCTTGATAACCTTGATAGCCGCCCTGATAGCCACCCTGATAGCCACCCTGATAGCCACCCTGATAGCCACCTTGGTAACCACCAAAGCCTAAACCTCCGCCGCAGGAACCCAAATGGCATTTATGTTTTGAAAAAGTTCGGCCTTCTGCGTCATTTTGAGGTTCTGAAAAAAATATTACTTAAGTTAAAAATCCTTATGCCAGGTTTCTATCGTATTCTACGACTTACTGTTAGTCAGGTAAAGCATTTAAACTATGTTTCATATAGTTTTAAAAGGCAAACAGACAAGGTTGTCGAGGGAATGTAAATATTCAACTAAGTATATTTAAGTTAATTTTTTAAATACTAAAGATGTATATTGTAGATTAAGTAAAATTGTATCTTGTCTAATATCTAATATATAAAATTCTCGTGTCACAGTTTTCGTTGCCATACTCCTCCGAAAGTCGAAACGGCTTGACCGATTCTCATGAAATATTGTGTGCATATTGGGTATGTCTGAGAATCGGACAACATCTATTTTTCATCCCCCTAAATGTTAAGGGTAGTCCACCCCTAAATTATTTTTTTTAATTTTTAGATAAATTACTTATTTTTTATTTTTTTATGATACAGCATTAAAAAATACATACAACCCCTAATTTTCACCCCTCTACGATCAACCCCTATTTTTTATTATAAATGAAATACATGGCAAAATGACGTTTGCCGGATCAGCTAGTTATTATGATATGTAATTTACTTTGACCCTAGATAAGACTTTTTCGCAATAATTACCTTCGCCAAGAACCAGCCTCCAGCCACAAAGCACAATGCAAAGGACTAAGTAACTCTTAGACATGTTCTATTAAGTAATATCTTGTATATGCCTAATTTTCGCAAATCAAAGGATTTTATATTATATGAAACAAGGACAACACCCACGCATCAACATTGAGTTAAACTTCCACCGGAAGTGATTTTTATTATAAATTCCCTTATATGGAATTTATATGATGCGGAAAGAATATTAATAAATTAATTTGAATTTTAAAGAAGATAAACGGATGTTGATGCGCAGTGTTGGCCTAGTGGCTTCAGCGTGCGACTCTCATACCTGAGGGCGTAGGTTCGATCCCCGGCTGTGCACCAATGGACTTTCTTTCTATGTGCGCATTTAAAATTTGCTCGAACGGTGAAGGAAAACATATTGATGAAACCGACATGTCCAAAACGTCAACGGCGTATGTCAGGAACTGGAGGCTGATCACCTACTTGCCTATTATATTTAAAAATGATCATGACACAGATTTAGAAATCTGAGGCCAAGATCTAAAGCGTTTGTAGCGCCATTGATTTATTTTTAAACGGATGTTGCATGTAATGTAAATATCTATTTTGTCTAAGAGTCGTTCCTCTTACTTTGTTTATGTTCCCTTTGGAATAGAGACTCATGGGCCGTAAGGTTCAAGTGCACAGGCATATATTAATTAAAGATTTAAGTTGGCGCCTGGTAGATAGTACCGGTGACCCCAGAGTTGGTGCTTTCCTCGCTCAACGAATTAGTATTGCAATACAGCGAGGATATGCTGGCAGCGTTTAAAGGTACATCACACCGCCCGCGCCACAGGGACCAAACTTTCTTAATTTTATTCTACTTTTTATTTATTATTTTTTTCTATTTCTACCAATATTGTAAATACTGTATATTTTTGGCTTAAACTCTGTTGAAATTAGAAGAATTTAACCCTAGTTTACCATCTCATATTAAAAGTACATCTCTAGTTTATGCTGGCAACCCTGACACATCACTGTTTGTAATAATCTATGATAAAAATTATCTCAAAATAAATCTACGTTGTCTAAAACCAAATACGTTATTTTTCATTTAAATCATCAAACTCGAATTTAAACCTTCTAGAGACGTGCCAAAACGTTTTATAATTCGCGAATTCAATCAAAATATATTAAAATTTACATTTAAAAAATCGCTAGGCGATTCCTCTTTCACCAATGCAGTAATTATTTTTAGCTTAGGCTAATATAGAACGTTTCAAGTCGAATTCTCATTTTTTATATTTATAACTAGCTGGCCTGGCGAACCCCTCCACTAACACTTGAACTTTATGATATGGTATTAAAGTTCAAATTGACTTTTAAGTATTATTACGAATATTTTGTATGGGAATATAGAAAAGTGTTGTTTTTAGACTTTTTCACTCAATATTTTTAAATTTTTCTCTCCGTAAGAACCATCCTCGTACTTCAAGGAATATTATAAAAAAAAAATCAGACAAATCGGTCAAGCCGTTTTCATGTTATGTCGTGACAACGGAAAACGGGTTTCATTTTTATATATATATAGATTACGTATCCCGACGTGAAAAGCACTCCATAGACTGGTGATGCAGGAGGTTGGAAGGACAAGAGTTCCTGGTAGCATCAAATCAAGAACGCACTAAACCATCCTCTCCTTAATACTCAAGGATGGCGGCTGTCCGTGATGATTGTGGCAGGGTTGTCAAGAGTATGGTTACTCCAAAGTGTCAACCACGACGCCTTTGTCAAGCGCCAACTCAGGGAGAGAGAGGATGAGGGATTTTGAAGTGAAACTTCTTTAGGCGCATGAGGGTAAAATTTTTACGGAACGTCACGAAGATGTGCAGCGTTTTTGTTGAAGTAAGGGGAGAGAGTTATTGAGAGAGAGTGAGAAGGGTGAATTACCTTATAGAAATTCTATTTTTAAAATTTAAATTTCGTAAAGAGAATTTATGAAATATTAGTATTTTGTATTTTATGCAAAATAATTTATTGAAATCTCAAATGACAAATTGTAAATTAAAATGGCACGTGTTTTTATTATCGAAAAAATAAATTTAAAAAAATTAAATTTATTATTTGTATAATTTTTAACACTTAATATTTTAATGACAATTAAATTCATTAAATTCCTAACATATCTTCCTTTTTCCCTCCAAGTCTCGGAAATATAAAGTTTTAGATTATAAATATGAACAAGAGTTAAAAATTAGCTTGCCAAAGAAGTTTCACTTCTGACATGTTGCCTTTGTACGCACGCACTTTTATTTATAATTATAAAAGTAAATACAAAAGTTTCTACTTTATTAAAACTAGCATATTTTACATTTAAAAAAGAATGTCGTCATGGCATACATTATACATTTTTAACACATGTAAATGAGATAGGATTTGCATAAGTTGGCTCCTCTTATGCCAGAAGCAAATACTTCCAAGAAAACTCGGCCCCCGCAATTTAAAGTCTAGATTTAGTCGGCAAAGTACACAGGCAGTAAAATGGTTAACGCTCATAAATGTCCAAAATTATTCGCGCATTGAATGCCAAATTGTATTCGTGGACTTCATTAGCTTAAGCAGTTCAATGACCCTGTCGTTCTGGTTATGTCATGTGTCCGGTTTGACTTATGACTTATTTGTTTCGTTAAATATTGGCTATGTATTAAGGTCTATTTGTATTAAGAACCATCTACGTATACATTATAATTTCACTGTTATGTTTGATTACTTAACAATTTCAGTTTTTTTCTAATTGATAGCTACTTTGTAAAATAAATAACAACGTTTTATCTATTTTACAATTATGCATAGTAAAGAAAAATCGAGTTTCTAATTATAATTAGCTTAGACCAACATTTCTCAACCATTTACAAGTCGCGACCCTCAAAAAAGCCAAAAAAATAAGTAAAACCGTCTTGGGATCCCGTCACTAATAATATGTACATGCGCGCTATTTTTATCAGCTATACCTATATGCTTGAGAAACGATGGCTTAGGCCTTAAGCCAAAATGTGTTATACACATAAAAGTAAAAGTAAAAAAGTAAAAAATCATTTAATCATATAGGTAACACAATGTACACTTATGACAAGGGCGTAGAACGGAAGAGAAGAACTGGCAATAAACTCTTCGCCACTGTTTTTAATCGCTTTTTTTTAACACAACGCTAGTAAGGAGCTGCAACCATTACATCATGTTCCACATGACATCTTAAGTAATTAATAATAATAAAATAAATTAAAAACAAAGATTTGTCCTCTATCAGCAGGAGGCATGGTGAAATAGGACTTACATTCTCGTGTGAACAACACGCAAACACATAGTCGAAATAACTAACTTATTATTACATATTTAAACTGTTACAGTTATATTTATACTATTGCAACATATTGTTTTACATTGGTATACATATTCTTCTTTATATTGAATACTTGGGTGTTTCTTAGGGGCTATTTTTCACATAAAAAAAAACAACTATTTAATTTGGTAATCTATAATATAATTCAATTTGGCCTACGATCTCGCAATTGCAACTGAAATTGCATCACCAGTATCACTTTGTGACGTACTTACGGCGCCACCTTTGCAACCAGAACAAGGTTGATCAGCAATTGAATCTCTAAAATCATTATCTTTGTAACTTTGAGAAGCTTCTTGATTTTGACGCCAGAATGGTGGAGCCCAAAATGGCGGTGGTGGGGGCCAAAAAGGCTGTTCTTCTGAATTATCTGGAGGTGCGTTGTATGGAACCCGCTTGAGACGAATTAGAAGGCCATCTGTTGGTGTAAAATGATATTTAAAAGTTCTTTGTGGTAAGTTACTTTAGGTAAAATTAAACTAAATTATTAGTTGACTATTATCTGAAATCCCGTTATCTTTCATTGGGGTTTGGGGCAGACACATGTCTACGGCTATTTTCATAGATCTTAAGATAATAACTGCGCACTGATTATCCCAAGCCACGAAGCCGGCACTATTTGTTTGCGCTAGGAAGAAATCGAATTTCTCCTTTTCAATCGTTCTCAATGATTAAACTTATGTATATCGTGTATGGTGGGTTCCTAATACAATTACTATTAACAAACAACTGCTAATTTATAAAACGATAAGTAAAACACTACTCACTGTCCGTAGGATAGCAGCTCACTGCCAGAATTGCAATTAATAATAATAGTAACAATCTCAACATTTTCGCGAAATATGTTACGAACTGCGCGATGATAGAAATATATACTTAAATGTTATTGATAAGACAAATTGACATTCCTAGAAAAATATGGAGTCGTTAATACGTTGTGTACACGTTTCGGCCGATACATATCTACACATTGTTTGCATGGAATTTTTGATTATGTATCCTGGTCCGTGATGAGAGACATAAAAAGAAATAGTTTATTTTCGTTATTTAATTGTACTATATTTTATTTATTAACTTTGAAAAAGAGGGCTTTATTAGTTCGTCGTGCCATATACAGGGTGGCCAAAAAGTCGTGGATCAAACGCAAATAGGGGATAGATGAGGTCATCAGCTGCAAAAAATTGTTTTACGGGAGGTCTCTAAGCTCAACCCCTGCAGAGTTATAATTTATTTTGCGTTTTATAAGAAAATTGACTTTTTTTTACTAATTCTTATTAAAATTCGAAAAAATTAGGTACACAGGTAGGTAAATAAACTATCATAAGTCCGAATCGTTGTTGTTTTTTCGTCCTAGAAAGATATTAGAGCGACTCATGGCCATGTGTAATATACCTTTTCAGAATCCCTATTAAATGCGCCAAAACTTGTAATACAGGGTCACTTTTCGGTAGAGTAATTTTTTTTCACAGTGGGGTCCGAAGTAAACAAAAAGTTTTGATTTGAAAAAAAATTATATCATATAACTTAATATTATCTTCAATACACTCAATAAACAACCATAAATAGTATGTGTTAAGCAAGAACTCATCAGTACCAATCTAGTGGATATTATGAAAAAGATACAGGTGTAGATTTTTTCGAATTTTAATAAGAATTAGTAAAAAAAGTAAATTTTCTTATAAAACGCAAAATAAATTATAACTCTGCAGGGGTTGGGCTTAGAGACCTCCCGTAGAACAATTTTTTGCAGTTGATGACCTCATCTATCCCCTACTTGCGTTTGATCCACGACTTTTTGGCCACCCTGTATAGTATAGCTAATAATGTTTTTTATTGGGTTTCACATTAGTGCATCCAGAATAGGCACCGTTGCGTCCTGATTACTGTATTGTTTATTAATTTACTAGCAAACTCGGCCAAGCGTTGCTGTAGCTAAGGTTTTAGTTATATGTATTACATAGTAGTAAACTATTTAAGTGAAACGGTAGGAGAACACCAGTCATGGGGACCACAAATATAAATTACGTGTCACGTTGTTGGTCCGCTATGGACTCCTAAACTACCGAAACGATATCAATCAAATTTGCACACCGTATGTAGTTTGATCCAACTTAAAAGATAGGATAGCATACATCTCAATTTATACCCGCAATATTATTATATTGCAAAATATTTGTTTATTATTTGATAGTCACAATTCTAACAGATGGCGCTGTGTTGAAAGTACCAACGTTTCACATAAGCTACAATTGAATGGCATAATCATCAAAAGCGCATGGTGGACTGGTGTTCTCCTACCGTTTCCCTTGAATAGTTTACTACTATGTAATATAACAAAAATATTAGCCACAGCAACGCATGGCCATATCTGCTAGTATTATATAATTATGTTTGGCTGTTTGCATACTTGTGACACCTTTTGTAAGACGTTTGATATATTTTAAGGCAACCTTGTGACGTGCGATACGCATATCTCATGACGCACGAAGGCTGAGATTTTAAAATTTGTTATAAAAAAAAGGGAACGAAGCGTTTTGTTTCATTCAAGAAGGCTAAGGCCTCTGGTTTAACCTTTCTTTATTCTTAAGGATCGGATGATACGGATAACATTTATTACTCAGATAATGAAGAGTTGCTTAAGAATAGAATAAAACAACTGTTACAGTGACAATTGTGTAAAGTATACATGTATAGGTAGAAATGGTCTGGTCATTATTTAATTGGTATTTACATCCTCAGAAAATAGAAGAAAGAAAACAAAAATGTTAAGCAAATTGCATTTGTTTTATGTATATTGTAGTGCAAAAATTCACTTACCCTCATGTAGCCGAAATAGCTCAGTTGGGAGAGCGTTAGACTGAAGATCTAAAGGTCCCTGGTTCGATCCCTGGTTTCGGCAATACTTTTTATTTTTTTGTAGCAAATAGCAATCATTTGGCTAGATAACACAATGAACGCTGTGATCGTAACAAAAAATAAGAACTGGCAATAAACTCACGACTTATTTTTTAATCATCATGTTAAAAGGAGCTATGTATTTCAATTTATTTACCAAATTTAAGACATGTTTTTTAGATATTATTTTTTGAGAGTATTCCAATACATTTTCATTTTTAACACTACATATTATGTTCGTTTGGGTGTATAAATAACTATTATAAATAATTGTATGTGATGTACGACATTTAACTTCACCGTGACCACGCACGCTGTAAAGCACGCGAAACGTCGTTTAAAATTATGTTAAATAATTGTAAATTTATAATAATACATAACTTTAATCCGGTAAAAAGTTTTTTCTTTAAATTTAACTTCAAGTTCGCAACCCGAAATATTAATATTTCGACAGTTGATATTAATATTTTTCTGTATTATGATGTAAATCTTCTAAACATATAAATAAATATAACTTGGTACTTATTCCGATTTCGTTTTGTTTCGGCTGAGATATTCATTCGGCGGTATATTGTGTGGTATTAAAATGGGAGCTCAGTTAGGCTTGGTATACCATACAATATTTTTAGGTTGGACCACATAGGTTTTTAGTTTGAATCTCTTTATAATTAAATTGCATATTAAGGTAGGTATCGTATTTTTATATATAAAAAGCAAAACTCAACAAGAATAATTATATTTTATTTACAAGGAATAAGTACAAATACATCAAGAACACATCACAATTAACATCGGTAATAAAAATAGATGAACTGAATACTTTAACCGCCAAATGCAATGGAAATAGCTGACCCACTGTGACTCTTTGCATTACTGAAGGCATATCCACCATTTCCAGCACAAGTACTGCATCCAGCCTTTTGTGCTGCTTCTAAGCCTTGAGAAGCAAGATTTAACGCTCCTCCAATAGAACTACTACCAGCACTTTGCGATTCACTGTTTCCGCTGGTCAATTCAGGTCCTGATTGTTGCTGTTGCAAGTCTTGATTAGCTTGATATTTGGAGTTAAAACCGTTACTATGACTGTGATCATGTCCATATCCTGAGAACCCTCTCCCATAGCCAAAGCCTCTGACGTGGGCGTAAGAAGAAGCTTGGCTGCTAGCACTATTTCCACCTTGTAGATTATGCTGTTTGAGTTGCTCTTCTTGGCTTAATGAAGCTTGACCTTGCTGTTTATTGAAACCTCCTTGACCTACGTGTTGGCCAAATCCAACTTGGCCTTGTGATTGGCCAAAGGCACCTTGATCTTGCTTTTCCTGGCTTAGTGTAGCTTGACCTTGCTGTTTATTAAAACCTCCTTGACCTAAATGTTGGCCAAATCCAACTTGGCCTTGTGATTGGCCAAAGGCACCTTGATTTTGCTCTTTCTGGCTAAATGAAGCTTGACCTTGCTGTTTATTGAAACCTCCTTGACCTACGTGTTGGCCAAATCCAACTTGGCCTTGTGATTGGCCAAAGGCACCTTGATCTTGCTTTTCCTGGCTTAGTGTAGCTTGACCTTGCTGTTTATTAAAACCTCCTTGACCTAAATGTTGGCCAAATCCAACTTGGCCTTGTGATTGGCCAAAGGCACCTTGATTTTGCTCTTTCTGGCTAAATGAAGCTTGACCTTGTTGTTTATTAAAACCTCCTTGATGTACGTGTTGGCCAAATCCAACTTGGCCTTGTGATTGTCCAAACGCACCTTGATTTTGCTCTTTCTGGCTAAATGAAGCTTGAGCTTGATGTTTATTAAAACCTCCTTGATGTACATGTTGGTCAAATCCAACTTGGCCTTGTGATTGGCCAAAGGCGCCTTTATATTGCTGATGACCAACACCAGTTAGTACTTTCTGTTGACCATAGCCGCTTTGGACAGTTTGCTGGCCATTTCCACCATTAAGCCCAACTTGTTCTTTCAGCTGATTATTTTGTTGCCCAAATGCTCCGCCTACTTTATTTTGTTGTCCATATGAACTGGTCAAAGTTTGTTGACTTAAAACACTACCTTGTTGGCTTAAGCCATCTCCTTGTTGGTTCGGTATACCATATTGTTGATGACTATGTTCATGGCTTTCTTCTTCGTTCTGGGTGAAACGTTCAGTATTTTTTTGCCCAGATTCTGCATTGAAGTCAGCTTGAGTGTCAAGATTTGATTGCTCTTGATCATCTTTTTCAGAATGTATGCCCCCACTTACTAACTCCACTTGTTGTTGGCCATTACCTTTTACTGAACCAAATGATGAGCTATGCGCGCTGGAACTGCTGAAACCACCGCTTTGATCACCACCAGTTAATTTACCTCCTGCTTGTGCGCTATCGTGACTTGATGAATAGAGTCCATTGCCTTTACTAAGATCAGCGGCTCCGATATTACCATTCGCTGAACTACTTGCACCAAGGTTTAACTGTTCATGGCTCCCAGTGCCACTTTGGCCGTTCAATCCAGAACCTTCAGCTTCAAACTTTCCTCCACCACTTTGGAAAGAATAACGAGCTTCTTTATGAGCACTGAATTGTCCACCGAAACCACCAGAGTGGTCGCCTCTGTGTCCATCACCGAAACCAGCTATTAATTTGCCAGAAATCCCAGTAGATTGAACCGAATCGTCATCATCACAGTCAGCTGATGCTAGCGATAATGCTTGTCCAGTAGCCGATGCAGTATTTGTGGCACTTGCAGCAGCGCCACTGTATACTCCATTGGTGTTTCCATCAGCGCTTTTTGTAATTCCACTCCAATTGTTTGTTCGGAAAAATGGGAATGGTGGAGGTGGGTGGAATCCAAAACCGCCGTAATATGGCGATCTTGCATCCCGATGCAATATAGAACCTAAAAAAGAAAATTAACTTGATACACATTTTATGTATGATTGAGATTTACGGATTCACAGCAATCCCTTACCTGGATATCCGTAAACTGCAATAAATGCAGTCGAAATAAATATTGATGCTATCAGCAGGTCCAGTCTAGTCATCTTGCCGGAAATACTTAGTATGATCGATTACAGAAAACGTTGTGGTTTTATATCACTAACAAATCCTATTCCACGAATAATATGTCCTAATATCACAAATAGATCATAATGCATTAGGTAAATATTACGTTTCAACAAAATTCGCACAAGCTGTGTATTTTCCGAAATTATATAGACAAAACAAGTTTTGTTTGCGCCCAGACAGCAGAATGTGAAACATAAATACGCTCTTTCGAGATGAATCCTTTTGGGAAAACTCAATAAATCTAATGAAACCGATTGTACAGTGCTTTAAATATTTATTTAAGCATTTAACATCACAAATACTTCGAGATAAAAAATAATATATAAAAATTCTAATTTCTATTACTACTACTAGTATGATACGTGTAATGATTGAACGTTCGGGCATTACCAATAAGATTGATGAACCAGATTTTTAAACGCTGTCCCGCTCCTGATCGATTGCCTTTTCACTGCTTAAGCAAAAGCAAATACAAGACAGTCTTCATTTCTTTTATCACGGCGTTAATACAATTTGACAGCAAGAGATGAAACAGTACTTTAGTTCAAGAGTGCAGTTAGAATAATTTAGTTTTTATAAATAATCACTTATTAATAATAAAAAATTGAAATTTAAGGAAATTGAAAATTGTCTTCTCGATAAAAATCATCTCTCGACAACATTAAGAACATAATTACAATACAAATATTATGTAATAGTAGATTATTCTATTGATACTCGTAAGCCAGACTAGACTAGACTAATATCGGCGGTGCCAATGCATTTTTCTTTCTATGCGGTATTGATAATAATTCGCACAGTGAGAGTAAACACTTTTGTTAACATACCGGTTTAATTATATTTTATTTATTTATTTAAAACAGGGTTTCCCAACATTTTTTGTGCTTTCCCACCTTAGCATTTTTAAAATTCTTATGGCGGCCCTATGTAACATACAAAATTGTTATTAATAAAAAATTGAATTGTTCACTTACGAAACTTATATGATAGGTTTTAGAAAGAAATCACTAGAAAATTGTTATTGAAACACAGTAAGTAAACTGGAATTCAAATAAAAAATAATTTTATTAAAGATTTTTCTATATTCATTTATTATATTAATGTAAAGAAACCTGCATGTTTCTTTGATATGAAATTTGTACTAGATGACGCCATCAGCCATCTTGGTTGGAAGAAGCAGTTTGACAAGTGAAAAGTCATCGTTATTAATAAATTGTTTGATTGTGAAATTGTTGTAAAAAGGAATTGATAATTTTATAATAAACTTTTAATGTCGTTTCCTTGTTTTAGCAATTCAAAGGGGGAACGCTGCCAGTATCTTCGGAACCTTGCCTAAAGGGACTCCTTTTAATGATATATTTTAGTTTATGTTAAGTTTAGTTATTTATTTCAATGTATATTATTTTATTATTAGTTTAATAATAATTATGTTTAATATTTCATTTATATATATATCTTATATTAATTTAGTGAGATCTATGCTTGTTGCTTCATACAGAATTTTATGAGGTTCCAATTTGATTAGCTTCAGTCTTAAGTCTCCACGCTATGTTATATCCAGCCGATTTCGATTGTCCCCCTTCACTATCAAATTGCCCCTTTGTGCCCACGTTGGGAAACACTGATTTAAAATATGACAAAAATATATGGTAGCTAATACATAATTACTGACGCTAGTCCCCACGCTATCTCTGTTTTGTGGGTGACCGATATTTTGTGTAGATACTCTTCCGTGGTTCATATATACGTGAAACAATACAGAAAATTTAATGACTATTGTACAAAACATATTATAATTTTTATATAAACAAAATGTAAAATGAATACTTAAAAACTAAACAAGAATTGTAAAAATGTTTGTGTGTGAGAGCTGTGCATTGTGTATTAACAGCGCTAAAGTAATACCTAATAATGGAACAATTTTACTATTTTTTTACATTATTTCACGCTATTAACATGCTAAACATTATAGTGTTTAGAAAAAAGGACAACCCATTAGTTCCCATTTTACTAAGTAACTATAATTATTGTATAGGTTAAATAAAAAATTCACATTAATACGCTTTTTTGTAGATTTTATAGTTCAAAATATCGAAAAAAAGTTTTATAAGTCAAAAGATAGGAGGCCCTGGTCAAGTCAGCCTAGTTGTTATTAAAAAAAATTGTGTTTCGTTTCGTTTCTTCCGTCGGTACAGCAATTTTTTATTTTGTTTCGAAGTTGTCATTGTGTATTGCAGATGCAACTGCAACAGTGCAACTAGTTCATAGTTGGAAATATAGTCCGATGAGATTAAATTATATAAATGGAGGATATGTAAGTAGGATTGTTCAAAGTATTGAATATTGTTATTTAGGGTTTATAATACTTTAGCGTTTTTTTTAAATTTTATATTCATATCTGTCACTTACGTTATTAATAAATTAAAAGTATGCCTGTTCGAATCTAAAGGTAAATAAATGTGTCATTAACAGTAACAATAAAACATTTATTTCAGTCAAAAACGTCGACCAAATCCGCCCTGTCCAAATCCGCCCTGTCCGAATCCACCCTGTCCAAATCCGCCTTGTCCAAATCCGCCCTGTCCAAATCCACCCTGTCCAAATCCGCCCTGTCCAAATCCGCCCTGTCCAAATCCTCCCTGTCCAAATCCACCCTGTCCAAATCCGCCCTGTCCAAATCCTGGTCCGCCAAAACCACTTTTTCCAAACCCTGGCTGTGAGAAACCTCCACCAAATTGTGGAGACCGAGCTTTCCGGACTCCTATAACAGAATTTAAAAGTTAATATATATGATGATAATAAAATTCATTATAAATGTACTAATAATAATTTTTGTACTTTATCAAAATCGACAATACAAAAAAACATAACTACACATATCTATATATATAAAAATGAAACCCGTTTTCCGTTGTCACGACATAACATGAAAACGGCTTGACCGATTTGTCTGATTCTTTTTTATAATATTCCTTGAAGTACGAGGATGGTTCTTACGGAGAGAAAAATTAAAAAAAATTGAGTGAAAAAGTCTAAAAACAACACTTTTCTATATTCCCATACAAAATATTCGTAATAATACTTAAAAGTCAATTTGAACTTTAATACCATATTGTAACGAAGACGGGTCGACTGCAATGTTTTTAGATTTTTCCACTAGTTAGAGAAGTTTTCAGCAGGCTGAAATGTGATTTCTGGCCGTTTCAGGAGAGGGTCAATCACATATCAGAAAATCGTAATTTACAGAATGTTACCATAGTTTTCAGGAGGCTGAAATATTTTTTCAGGCCGTTTCAGAACACGTGTAGTCGAATGGTACACTTTTCAGGAAACCCGTTTTCAGGCGTTTTCAGGCCTGGTTATACCCCTTTGATGAAGGAATAGTCTAGAACGAATTTTCTAGGTGTGGGACAAGGACGGAATGATGCGAGAGAGAGACGGAAGATCGGAACCTTCTCGAAGCTAGACCGAGCACTCTAGAACACCGTATGACAAAGACGGAGCAATGTGCGAGAGAGATAGCTAGTACGCACGTTCTAGAATTGTGCGATCGCTATTCAGTAGCGCGCCCCGCCTAGAGAGTTCTCGAACATCGTTCAAGACTATTCCCAGGGATATATAAGCGAGCCGAAACGCGACCAGTTAGTTCAGTTTTGAATGCGATACCAAGCGATAAACACCGGAGTGACAAAGTGCGAATATAGTGAAGAAAAGTGAATACAAGTACTGTGTGAAGTGCGTGATATTAGAGTAATAAGTGACAGTATTTTGTGTGTGTATTTAGTGAATTTTTGTGCGTAATTTCAAGTTTATAGTGTTAACAAATTCCTCGTAGATTTAATTGAAAATAAACCCTTGAAGAGATTTACGGCGTTTCTATCCGATCCCCTAGCTCGTAACATTTTGGTGTCAGAAGTGGGATAGAAAAATGCCAATTACTCCAAGGGAGAATCAAGAGGAGTTTGTAGCAGAGTCTCCAGCTGCGGAGGGAGTCCAGACAAGGGCGCAATCAGCACGCGACGCTGCCCGACGACAAAGTTTCGATGCGAACCGCGGGATGGGTGAAAGCAACGATGCCAACATGCTTCTTGCTCTGCGCCAAATGATGGAAGAACAGGCACGACGTCAAGAGGAACAGGCACGCCGGCAAGAAGAACAGGCACGCCGTCAAGAAGAACAGGCACGCCTAATGATGGAAGAACAGGCTCAGACACGTCGTATGATGGAGGAACAGGCACGGCGTCAAGAGGAGCAGGCTCATCAGATGATGGAGGAACAGGCCCGCCGTATCGGAGAAAAACTTGGTGACCTGAAAATACAGGTAGAGAAAAAGATCGAGAACTTGGAATCTGATATGGACTGCAAATTTTCGAAACAGGACAAACGTATTCTCGGATTAGAACAAGAGATGCAGTGCCTGAAGACCAAAGGTGTCGTAACGACTGTAGCACCATCTGGAAATCTGAAAGTACCTCCCTTTGACGGTACATCTTCCTGGGGCGCGTACAAAATACAGTTTGAGACTGTGGCAGAGTCAAACGGGTGGAATGACGATCAGGCTGTCACCGCCCTTATTATGGGACTGCGAGATGAAGCCCTCACCATATTAGATACCAAGACAGGTAAAGTGACGTTGAAGCAACTGCTGGATGCCTTGGAATCACGGTACGGAGACGCACATTTAGAGCACGTCTATAGGGCTCAATTAAAGGATAGAATACAGCAGACAAATGAAAGTTTGCAAAAATGGGGATGTGAAATAGAGAAGCTGGTTAGGAAAGCCTATGCATCCTCACCAGACGTTGCAGACAAGATGTTGGTTCAAGCCTTCGTCGACGGTATTCGAGACCGTGAAATTCGAATGGCTGTGAACCTAGGTCACCATAAGGACCTCAAAAATGCTCTTGCTCATGCGTTGGAAGTGGAAGCATTTTGCAAGGATTCTCGACCTAACCGCATTAGGGCTGTCTCGGAA